GGGTTAAAGATTTAAATGTAAAACCCAAAACTATAAAAACCGTGGAAGACAACCTAGGTAATACTATTCTGGACACAGGAATGGGCGAAGAGTTCATGATGAAGATGCCAGAAGCAATCTCAAGAAAAGCAAAAATTGAAAAATGGGACCTAATTAAACTAAAGAGCTTATGCACAGCAAAAGAAACTATCAATAGAGTAAACAGACAATCTACAGAATGGGAGGTTTTGCAAACTATGCATCTGACAAAGGTGTAATACCCAGAATCTATAAAGAACTTAAAAAATTTTACAAGAAAAAAAGCCTCATTAAAAAGTGGGCAAAGGACATGAACAGATACTTTTCAGAAGAAAACATACATGCAGCCAACAAGCATATGAAAAAAATCTCAATAATACTGATCATTAGAGACATGCAAATCAAAACCACAGTGAGATACCATCTCACATCAATTAGAATGATTATTATAAAAAGTCAAAAAAGTAACCGATTCTGGCGAGGTTGCAGAGAAAAGGGAATATTTATACACTCCTGGTGAGAATGTAAATTAGTTCAACCATTGTGGAAACCAGTGAGGCGATTCCTCAAAGAACTAAAAAGAGAACTACCATTTGACCCATTACTGGGTGTATACCCAAAGGAATATAAATCACTCTACCATAAAGATACCTGCACATGTATGTTCATTGCAACACTATTCACAATAGCAAAGACACGAAACCAACCTAAATGTCCATCAAGCGCAAACTGGATAAAGAAAATGTGGTATATATACACCATGGAATACTATGCAGCCATAAAAAGAACAAGGTTATGTCCTTTGGGAGGGACATGGATGGAGCTAGAGGCCATTATCCTCAGCAAACTAACACAGGAACAGAAAATCAAATACCGCAAATTCTCACTTATAAGTTGGAGCTAAATAATGAGAACACATGGATACAAAGAGGGGAACAAAGCACACTGGGGCCTACTTGAGGATGGAGGTTGGAAGGAGGGAGAGAATCAGAAAAAATAATTATTGGATACTAGGCTTAATACCTGGGTGATGAAATAATCTGTACTACAAACCCCCTGACACGAGTTTACCTGTATAACAAACCTGCACATGCACCCCTAAGCCTAAGATAAAAGTTTACTTTTTAAAAATAAAAACAAAAAATATTGTGCCAAAACTAGCAAGAAGTATTTTTGCAAAGAACAATGCCAATTGGGGAATTAAGTTTTAAAAATATTTACATAAGTGCAAGTAGGAGAAGAGGAAACCCATCGGCAAGCAGTAATTTTCTTAGAACCATTAATTTATAATAAATTGAAGCAATAACATCATGTGATGGAAGAATAACACAGTTCAAGTTCAAAGACCTGGGTTTGATTTCAGGCCCTCTCCCAGCTGTGACTTCCACCGCACCACATTCATCTGTGAAAGAAGAGAAATGCCCTGCTCAGAGGGAGTTAAATGAGACACAAATGCCCTTAGCACAATATTCATTTCTCAGGATTCTTAATGAGCAAATAAGGTAATGTGGCTTTCATAAACCTAAGAAACGCTAGCTGAGTTAATGGAAGGAGAGTAGCTGGAATTTCACTTCATTTTAGTGAATGTTTAATGAGAACCCACCATATTTACTGAGAATACTCTGGTAGAACAACAAATCAAAGAAGAGAAAAGCCCTACTCTAAGAGCACCAGAGAACGAGATGGTGGTGGATGGGTGTGTGCATTTCATTCTGGGAACCCTGGATTACAAGGACCATAAACCCCAACGTCATGATGTGGTGACAGAGGCAGACAAGCAGTCTAGGGCATAGGAAGGACTCTCTCTAGAATGAGACGCTGCACACAACAGATGGTGTCTTCCAGGAAACTTCAGGCCAAACTTCTCGTGATCCCAGAAACCCATAACTCTAGTCACACATTAATTACTTTTTGTCTTCAGAGAAAGGAGAGAAAAAAAAAAAAAAAAAAAACAGAATAAGCAGATTTTGACCAGTGTCTGCTCTGAAATGAGTTTCACCAAGAACTATCTGTTGAAGCTTTTCAGGAAACAAACTTCATGTATTAAAACAAAGGCAATGTGTAATGTTTCCAAACTCCTAAGAGGAATCTCTCCCTCCCCATAAATTGTGCCCAGCAGCTCTGTTAATGACGCAACCAACAGAACCAGCCCCCAGGACCGGCCCCAAGTGAGATAAGGAAATTTGACCAGATTCACTAAACTCAATCATTTCTGCTCAAAAGAAACAGAAAAACAGATTCAGAATACCATTCCATTTGAAGGAGCCTCCCAGAAGAGATCGGAACTTTCAGGGGAAGCCCTCTCCCTTCCTCCTTAAGATTTGTGGGGCGGGGAGGACAAATCCACTGCGGATTGTGAAAAAGTATTCCTCTTCCAAGCAAAAGTCCTCTGAACGCTGCCCAATTGTTTAGCACAGAAAATAAAGGGGCAGAAGGCTGACTTGATTGCTGTCTCAATCTATATGGGTCCTGACACTTTGACCTCATTGTTAATTTTAAAATAATAAAAATTTGGCCCAACACAAGGAAGGAAGTCATTGTTGATTCGAATGTGTGCCTGAAACATGGGAACACGGCATGAAGTGGATGGGTGCTTCACAGGGCAGGTGGACAGGATCCAAGCCCAGGACAGAAGGCTGGGCTAGATGGGCTCCAGTGTCCAGCAAACCCCTGTGATTTGTGGTTTTAATTGGGTGATGCTGACATTAGAGAATGGAGCTCTGCAAGAAAAAGGAAATTCCCATAGGTGGGTGCCCATGGCAAGTTCTCTGCAGCCAGGGAAGAGGGCAGGAAACAAAAATGAGATGGTATCCATTCATCTGCTGCCTTTCCCTCCTTCTGCTCACTCCTGCCTCTGGTCTTTTGATAGGAATGTCCCCAGCTCTGTGACTCTCACATAACTCATTATATGCTCATCATCATTCCAGTCTGACGTCCATCTTCACTGATTCAGGGAGGCTTCCAGGGACCACCTGTCCTCATTGTTGTGTTCTATTTGCATAATAGAACTTTCTGGTCTCTTAACACCAGTCTTCATTTGTTTGCATATTTATTGTGTCATCCCCCATAGATCATTGGCTCCCTTGGAGCACAGACTTTGAGCCCAAATTTTTGGGACCATTCCTGTCATGCAGAAACATCCTAAGTGAATAAAGGAAGAAATGAATGAATGAAGGTTTCTGCAATTTTGCCAGGGCTTTAACACCACAGCAAAGTATTCCCTGCAGGCCACCAACAGCCTGGACTAAGAATCTGATGTGATTATTTGCAAACTGACTAAAGCTATGGTAGAGAAGCCCAGGAAGAAAGACAAGAAAAGGATGCTAGAAATAATATGGTGCTACTGAAAACCTGACAATCTAGAAAAAACAAATATCCAAAGTGTCACCTCCTAACCTAACATGAATTCCTTGCTTAGGATCTGTAGATACACGTGAATTTATGGATATACTTAACAGTCAAAGCAAATAATCTCATTACTTATTTGAAATGCAAGAATGCAGCTTTTTAAATACTCCTCCCAATTACTTAACTGTCCAGCTGTTTAGGCGGTCTTAATGATTCATACTGACAAGGAGGTAGAGAAAGATACACAGAATGCAAGAAAAGCACTGCAGAACCATCGACACAAGACAATACCACATTATCACAGGCGCCTTCTCTGTGCACAGCCCTCCCTTAATAGAACAGCAGTGACACCCAGTGGCCACTTGTTTCATCAGGCGGTGGTCATCAAAAATAGTTGAGCCCAAACCCAAAAAGTATCATAAAACTGAATTTGAAAGGGACCCCAAAAGTTAGCTAATCTGACCCTGGTCTTAAAACATTCCCAGGTAGCTACTCCAATTACTCCAGCCACTGTTTCTTTCCCCAGTTACTCGTTTCAATAACTAAAGATTTTAAACCAAAAATATTCATTGTTTCTCTACAAGGCATCATGCGAGGTAGGGAAGAGACAATTTCAGCACTGCCCCCTGCTTTCCTTGGCTCTCGCATGTTTAATAAGCTGAATTCGACATTTTTTCCTTGAAGATAAATACTAAGTGCCTTATTATAAGTAACTTGGTGACATTGTCATTTGAATTTTGGTTTCCCAGCTTCTGATCTCTTTTTAATTTAGATTAATTCTTCATTAGTCTACCCGTCAAGCTTGCAATAAGCCCCAATTAACCAGAACTGACATGAAATTAAATGTGTGTTGGGGCCCAGTTGACGGTCAATTGCAATGTTCACTTATGAATCAGCTCCACGGTTACTACTTCTGAAAGGTTCTCTGTACAGGAAGGTAAAACCCCAACTAGAAGTGCTGAAAGCTGTCTCAGAAAATCTCCTGCTAAGGATCCAGGTGATATCTGCTGTGGACAACATGAAATGTCCCTGTTCCACTTCTCCACAGATAAACCATACGCCATGTAGCCCGGATGTTACTTATTCCTTGGTTTGTTGCAATAGCTCTTTGATTGTTTTATCACATTTTTCAGCTTGGAGATGACACTACCTGCCATTGCTCATTTGCTTTCACAGCAATTCACTACGGTAGCACACAGTCAGACTGTGCCCAGTCACTCTCCACTCAGAGGAAGTCATACTCAATTCTTAGATATTTTTAGCTGTTTTTGGTTTTGGGTATTTTAAGAATTTTGCAACACCTGCTGAACCAAGCAGAGACTCTTCCCAGGTGTCTTGCGTCAGAGCTGGGAATCAACTGAATAAATAATCACCAATTTTGTTCTAACTCCAAATAAAGAAAATATTATGGAATTAAAAACCCTAAGATTTTGGCATGGGACAATGACACCCTTTGGTTCCTTGCTTGTTCTTTTGTCTCCTTTCTGCCTCCAATTATATCATTCGTGCAGCAACCCACTCCACTAGCCAAAGGAGAGGAAGGGAAGAAGGAAGAAAGGACAACACAGTGCCAGTAACTTCAGGCTAAGGCTCCTCCGATGAGCAAAACAGACAGACAAGAAGCAGCACCACACCTTGGAGTGGGAAATATTTGCTTCTAGAATGCTATGGATAGTCTCATTTGAGATGTGGATGGAAGAGCGAAGCTCCTCAGTCAACTTGGTGATATTCTTCATCAAATCTTTTATTTTCACATCTGCAAAGTAAGGAAAATAAGAAATTTGTATAATAAAGGCTGAGGAGATTATTGACTGCAAAAACAAAATTTGATATTACAACCTGGCTAGGATAGTTTCTTTCATGCCATTCAACCCATAAATCACTAAATAAAGTCATACCTTACTCCCCCAAGAATAACTTAAATAATTTGTATAACAATAAACCAAAATGTCAGGTTCTGTGGTATTTTCTGGTTACTGGTCTACTCTCTCTAAGGCCTGAATGTTTCAAGAACATTTATTTTAGAAAGAACTTCTGGCCGGGTGCAGTGGCTCATACCTGTAATCCCAGCACTTTGGGAGGCCGAGGTGGGCAGATCACAAGGTCAGGAGTTCGAGACCAACCTGACCAAAGTGTTGAAACCCTGTCTCTACTAAAAATACAAAAAAAAAAAAATAGCTGGGCATGGTGGCACATGCCTGTAATCCCAGTTACTCAGGAGGCTGACGCAGGAGAATAGCTTGAACCCAGGAGGCGGAGGTTGCAGTGAGCTGAGATCGCGCCACTGCACTCTAACCTGGGTGACAGAGTGAGACTAAAAATAAAAAATAAAACGAAAGAGCTGCTTCTTAGGGAGCAGTGACCAAGTGCTATGGAAACTCACTTGTATACATGCATCTACTCATCTCACTTTTTTAACGAGAGGGGTCATTTAAGTATTTGCCAGAATTCTTCAGACATGGTATATTGATGCTACAAGAAACTTCATGAGTTGATAGAGTGAACAGCCAAGGAAACAGAGACACACAGGCACCAATTGCTTGTCCAAGGGGGCAAGGCCAGAGCAAAATCCAGACCACAGAAGCTTCTCTTTGTTCCTCTGCTTCAATATGGTACCCTAGGATTTCAGGACTTTCTTTATAAATGCCAAATACATCAGACCAGCCAAGTTCTAAATGATTATGTATCACATATAGCATAAATTTTCTGTTGTATGTTTTATTTTAATAATATATTTGCATGAGAAACAAAATTTAATTTTTAATCAAGCAAACTTGGAAAACCACATACTTACCCTCAGTTACTGTGAAATTGCTCAGAAAAGTCATGATGGGATTCCCTGATGACCAAGTTTCCTCGAGGCTTTTGGCCAACCTAAAATAGCAGAAAATTAAAGCTAAATTAGGCAAGATAAAACATCAGAAACAATATTGGAATGAATAATACTGCCTCAGCTCCCAGGAGATGGGCTGGATAACAAGATCACATTTCCATAAAGTTCCTCCAACACTTAGACGCACATGTCTCCTGACACCATCTGTATGTGAATATCCATTAATACTACCCACACTCCAGTATTTCTTTCTCAGAGCTCCTGCCAAGCGAGATGAACCAGGGGAATGAAGATGCATAATAAATGGTTTTTTGCAACTGTGAAAAGGATAGATAGGATAGATCATGGAACGTATGAGAAATTAGAATAGCCAGGGTCAGATGAACATAATTCTTTCTGTGAAAAAGTCATTTGCAGAATTCAAAGTTCCTTATTTCCCCTTCTGGTGCTTTACACTTTCAGAACACTATGCAAAATTGATCAAACATGAATGTAATTTGAAAAATATTTGCCACCGGGTGCAGTGGTTCATGCCTGTAATCCCAGCACTTTGGGAGGCTGAAGCGGGCAGATCATGAGGTCAAGAGATCGAGACCATCCTGGCTAACACGGTGAAACCCCGTCTCTACTAAAAATACAAAAACAAAATTAGCCAGACAGGGTGGTGGGGCCTGTAGTCCCAGTCACTCAGGAGGCTGAGGAGGGAGAATGGCGTGAACCCAGGAGGCGGAGCTTGCAGTGAGCCCAGATAGCACCACTGCACTCCAGCCTGGGTGACAGAGCGAGTCTCTGTCTAAAAAAAAAAAAAGAAAAGAAAAGAAAAGAAAAGAAAAATATTTGCTTGCCTGCTCATACAGAAATTATTTATTTATTTATGAGACAGGCTTTTTATCTGTCAGCCAAGCTGGAGTGCAGTAGCACAATCACTGCTCACTGCAGCCTCAAACTCCTGGGGTCAAGTAACCCTCCTGCCTCAGCCTCCTATGTGGTTGGGATCAAAAATGCACTGCACCAAATCCTGCTAACTGTTTTGTTATTGTTGCTTTTACTTTTTAGAGACAGGATCTTGCTATGTTGCCCAGGTTGGTCTCAAATTCGTAGCCTCAAGCGATTCTCCCACATCAGCCTCCCATTAGATGGGATTACAGGCATTTGCCACCAAGCATTGTGGATTACATTCTTTTATCTAATATCTTGGTCGCCAATAAAGTTAGCCTTCTGATTAATGCTGCTGTTACATTTTACCACTCAAAAATTGTCATGGAAAACTTTGATGTTTGGAGAATACATATTAATATGTACATTAAGAGTATATTGTACAGACTACTGTCTGAAATTCACATTTTAAAAGTGCTAGACATCCTCTCTATGAATGGAAGTACTGGGGAGGGCATGAAAGAATATCAGAGCGTACATGTGCAAGTGCTGCTGCACCGTCTCCAGCCTCGGCTGGCATGTGCAGTCCTGGTCAGTGGCATTTTCCAAGCTGCTCTTGAAGCTGTCCAAGGTGCTAGAAAGATTCTTGCCAAGACTTTCACAATTTAGCTGATTGGGCAAGGACCATATCTTTTCAATTTCCTAGAAAACATAGCAATGATATAGGTTAGAAACACACATACTTATTTGTAAGATTTTAGTTTATTCTCATTAGTCTCAGGAAACACAGAGAACAAACAATCATGTCAGTTGCTTCTGTGCATTCCACAATAGGAGAAAGAGCCCTTGGCTGTGGAAATACAGAAGCCCAAATTTTACTCCCGGCTCTGCTGCTAGCCAGCCAGGCAAGACAGCATGTTCTTGAACATATAAAAGAGAACATGCAATTCTCCACCAAATGGCCTAGCTCTTAACTTCCCGAAGCTCTGTTCTTAGGAACACACACAATTCAATAGCAGAAAAACAAATAAATCCATTTTTTAAAAGGCCAAAGAAGCTGAACAGACGTTATCCAAAGAAGACATAAAGATGGCAAACAGGTGAAAGAAAAGGTGCTCAACTTCACTAATCATCAGGAAAATGCAAATCAACCACAGTGAGCTATTACCTCATACCTGTTAGGATGGCTGTTACCAAAAACACAAGAAATAACGAGTTGGTGAGGGTGTGCAGGAAAGGGAAACCTTGTGCCCTGTTGGTGGAAATGTAAATTGCTACAGCCATTATGGAAAACAGTATGAAGATTTCTCAAAATATTAAAAATAGAACTACCATATGATCCAGAAATCCCACTTCTGGGTATAAAGCCAAAGGAAATGAAATTACATCCCAAAGAGATATTTACATTATTCACAAAAGCCAAGATAGAGAATCAGCCAAAATGTTTCTAAAGAGATGAATGAATAGAGAAAATGTGACATTATATACAAGAAAATATTATTCAGCCATAAAAAGAAGGAAATTATGCCATTGGCAGCAACACGCATGAACCCAGAAGACAAGCTAAGTGGTGTAAGTCAGCCACAAAAAGAAAACTACTGCACAATCTCATTTACATGTAAAGTCAAACTTTTTAAAAGTCAAACCCGTAGAAACAAAGCATAGAGTCGTGGTTACCAGGAATGAACGTGGGAGGAATGAAGATGTTGGTCAAAGGGTATAAAGTTGCAGTTATGTAGAATGGGCACATCTAGAGAAGTAATATACAGCATGAGAATTATAGTTGCCAATATTGTATTACATACTGAAATTTGCTAAGAAAGTAGATTTTAGGTGCTCTTAACACACACGCACGACACACAAAGATAACTCTGAGATAACAGATATGCTCATTTGTTTGTAGTAATCATGTCACTTTGTGTGTTTATCTAAACATTGTGTTGTACATTTTAAATATATACTATTAAAAATAAATATGAAAATAACAAAATTTTAAAGAAAATTTAGGCTTTTCAAAATTCACAGCCACAAACACAATGATTAAAAAGAAATCATACGTGGCTATTCATATGTGAAGTGGATAAAACCTGGATTTGCCCTGCTCTGAAGGTCAGCAGTGCAGTCTGGGAGGCTCCTGTTCTGCCCGCTGCAGGTGGAGAGGCTCCTAAGACTCTGGGGAACATCTGGAAAGACTCTAGAAGTAGGTCCCCATCCTCCGTATCACCAGCCCCCACCTCTGAGATTTCATGGACATCTTATCAGTATCTTCCTGGAAACAATCAGTTTTTTAAAAGACCAATCATTTTGCCAAAAAAGAAAACTTTTTAGCATAATACCTATTAATTGACAAAACGCAAAACACTTACCATATATGGAATTAAATGACAAATATAGGTAATTTAAAATTTAAAGCAACTGAAAAATGCCACAAACATATAATGTCTATGTCTATAAACATACACATGAATCTATACACTTTCCCTAGACACCGCTATTCTACCATAAATACTTGAGTTTACATCATCAGAATTTATTTGCTTCATCACATTTTATTTATATCACTCTATTCTTACTGATATTGGAAGCCTAGTTCCATGTTGCACCAATTATGGGAAGGTATCATAAGTAAGTCAACACTTAGGTAATATTTCTGTCAAAATAAAACTTTAAATTTTTTTTCAAAACCACTGTCAGTTTCTCTTGCAAAGAAAAATCATGAACCATTCAAGGGACCAAAGGGAGCTAACAAATATATGTTCCAAGGAAATGTGAAGACTGCTGAAAAGTCAAGGTTGGGAGCTGAGCTCTGGAGGCCGCCCCGAGATGGAGCCCCCGGCACAGCTGAGGTAGATTTAGTGGCGGTGAAGACTTCTCAGGAACTGATGAACATTAATCCATGATCAGAGCACTCGTGCCACCGTCACCACCACCTCAACCAAACCTCAGAATCTCACTGTGGGGGGAACTAAACCAGCCAATAGATTATTACAAAGCCTGCAACTTCTTGACTCCAATTCATCTATTATTGTCATTCATTTCATAAGTTTCTTTTATTCCCAAGCGATTTGGGAGTGGAACTTGAACAGAAATCTTATAGGACTATTCATTCATTCATTCAAAAAATACTTATGGAGCACCTGCCAAGTGCCAGGCCCAAGATAGGTGCTGGACTGAGAGTTGTGAACACAGGAGACAAAACTCCTGCCTCCATGAGGTTCACACTCCAGTGCAGGAACACTACCTGCAGACAGCCATAGGGGCAAACTGGTCAGCATGTCACAGGTGACCTGGAGGAAAATAAGGTGGGGTTGGGGCCGTGCTGGAGGTGCAAGACAAAGGACTTCTTAGCATCATTAGGGAAGCACACTGCAGGTGAGGGAGCAGCAGGTGCAAAGGCTCTGACCTGGGTGCAAAGGAGCCAGTGAAGTGGAGAAGAGAGTGCCTGGGAGGGCAGAGGCAGGGATGTGCCACCCAGACAGCAGGACCTAGCAGTGGCTTCCCTTAGACATCAGACACTAGTTCCAAATAAGACTGGAAGACACTGGGCACTCTCAGCAAAGGAGTAACACCGTCTGATGATGTTTTGGAAGGATCACTCTGGCTACTGCATTAGGGATCAAGGCAAGGGAAGGAGGAAAGGAGAGCTGGTTCGGATCAGAAAGGTGCTGGTGGAGGGGGTGGAACATGGCCAGATCATGGAAACATTTGGAAGGTAGAAGGGAGAGTTTTCTAACTGAAAAAAAAAAAGAAAGAAGACTAAACAAGTATGCCAGGGTTGTTGTCCCTGGCATCTGAGGGAAAGAACACCAGGGGAGGGAAAAATTACATGGAAAGATGAAGAGGTTTGTTTTTTTGTTTTTTTGTTTTTTTGTTTTTTGCATGAGTAGAGTTGAGGGGCCTGTTTAACATCTGCGAGGGAATGCAACTGAACACACGAGCATGAAGGTCAGGGGAGGTATTGGCTGGAGAAGGAAATTTGGAAGTTGTCAGGAAGTAATTGGAATTTTTAGGTTGCAAATGAATCTGGATAAGATTACCTAGCATGTGAGCATAGACTGAGAAGAGAAAGGGTCTGGACACAGCCTGGGTCCTTCTGCCACACACAGGAGCCAGGCATGCAATTGGAGACAGCTGGTGAAGGATGCGAGAGGAGCCCGGGGAAAGTCCCGGGAGCTGAGTGACGTGGGGCTAGGCGAGGCTGAGTCTGTGTCAATGCCTGGCTCAGACAGGGAGGAGAGGAGTGAGACTCCGCAAGTGGAGGTTGAGGGCCTGGGCAGGTGGAGTGGTGTCTGCTGTCTATGTTAGCCGCACCCGGCCCATCTGGTTCAACCTTTACGTAAGAAAGTTGCGAGTTTTTTTCAGTTGCCATGGACCCTCAGGTTACATAACCCGAGCATGCCCAGATGAACCAGTATGCAACCACAGCGGGAACCGGAGTGCTCGGACTGAGGAGCGGGGACTGAATTAAGAAGCGGACACTACATGGCAGGATCCAGGATCCAATTGCATTGAACTCTGGCATCACCCAGGGCAGGATCCAGTCAATCAGATCCTCATTACACGATGTTGATAAAACCTAACCCAGTCCCCAGCTCGGAGGCACTACTTTGGGAACTATCCCTGGTGTTCTCCTTACTTAAATCTCATTGCTAAATCCTCCTTGGTTGTGGTCATTGGGTTGATACCTGCCAAGCAACTGAACCCCTGCATTGTGTCAGTAACACCTGAAGGAGTCTGACAGGGAGCGGTCAGCTCAAGCCAGTCTCCATTTTCTATGGTGTGGCAGGGCTCAAGGATACAGACTTCTTTCCTTTTTTCACCTAAGTTTCCGCTGCCTGCTCTATCGCAGGAGACACAGCCTCCTCCCTCACCCACTGCCCCTAATGTGCACAGACCCCATTTGTTGTCTGAATGTAACCACAGCAAAGCAGAAAGGAAAAGGATGGCAGCAAACTCAGGCAGAGCATCTGCAAGGCAGAGAGATGTCTGGGTCCAGCCTCAAGACTCCAAGCTGCATGCACATGTCTAATAACATGCATAGAAGCCCTTGGACTTTCACACTCTGCATTTTGTTTTGTTTTTGTTTTTTTTCTGAGTGTGAAGTTCTCTAAACCTTCTCCAATTCTCTCACCCAAGCATTTCACAGGCTCAGTGTTCTTCTTGCTCCAAAGAGATCCCTTTTTGTAGCATACCAATGCACAGATACAACTAGGTCAGAACAATAGACATAGGTGAGTATCCCCTTAGGGGCCAACTCGCTCCTGAGAACATAAATTGAATTAAACCCATTGCATGAGGGCTCTGCCATGGAGTATTCCCTTATAGCAAAGAACCTCTAGTTCATAATTTGTAACTGCATGCAAATTAATTTTCATTCAATGCATTTATAATGTTCCTGTTATGGATGTTATTCTTAAATTAAACAAAATAATAATTTTGACATACAGGGGATTATAAAGTAGAAAAGTGCACATTCTACCCCAGTAGCAAGGACTACTAGAAGAAAAATTCCAAGTTTCTTCAGCACAGGTGTACCAGGCTCAAGGTAAGGAGAAGCATCTAGGACAAAGGTTGAGATTGACATTCATCAGGCTATACTTTTGGGATCTGGTAAAACCACCATGTGTAAAAGGCAGCACCCATCAGACTCTCCTTCTCTGGCTAGATCAGGCCTGGAATCAGCAAATAGGGAATAAATGTGCACAGGTGGACCCAAAGGTCTAGATCTAAAGAGGCAGTAGGAAGCCCCCACCCAACCTGAAGTTCCAGCCACATTCTCCAACTCAGCTTATCCCAAGAGATACAGTGGGCATTTGCTGTCATATCTGAAATTTAATTTCTGCTGCCCATTCATCTCTTTATTGCTGCTTTTTACTGTTTGGAACAAAGGGTGGAAGAGGGTAAGGAGTTGACAGCCCCAAAACTTTTGTCATATCAATTTGATCAGCTGAAACTTTCTCTTTCAATGGGAATTCCATGTTGCTACTGAGAAACCTATATTTAAAATAATTATTTAGATATTGAAAACTAACAAATGGCATTGTGCACTTGGCCCACCTCTGTTGGGCACTTCATATCCCACAGCCTGAAAAAGATTCATATTTCTAAAAGTCTCACATACTTGAAACCCTTGAACCACAGACCCATCCTAAAAGCTTTGCATCCTGAGGTAAGCAACATACTATTTTTGTCATTAAAGACAGGAACTTCTGCTCTTCAGCAAAACTAACTCAACTGTTACCAGCCAGACTTGTTGACAATCATATAACAATTTGAACTATAAATACAGTCTTTGGGTCAGTTGCTTTGAAAGCTGGAGTCTCTTGACTATTTTATTATTATAACCTTCGCTTACCACTAAAAAATTGTCTGTCTGTGAGGGGCCAGGCATGGTGGCTCACGCCTGTAATCTCAGCACTTTGGGAGGCCGGGTGGGCAGATCACAAGGTCAGGAGTTCGAGACCAGCCTGGCCTACATGGTGAAACCCTGTCTCTACTAAAAATACAAAAATTAGCCTGGCGTGGTGGCAGGCACCTATAATCCTAGCTACTGGGGAGGCTGAGGCAGGAGAATTGCTTGAATCAGGGAGGCAGAGGTTGCAGTGAGCTGAGATTATACCATTTCACTCCAGCCCGGGCAATAGTGCAAGACTCCATGTCAAAAAAAAAAAAAATTGTCTCTGAGGATTTTTTTTTCTGTATCCACATTTAATATCTGACAAAGATCTGCACAACCTGGAAATAAGAATTTGATCTTCTAAATAAATCAATGTGAATATGGGGTTGTACAGTCAGTCATTGCTAGGGACTGCTCAGGGCTTCCTGCTGACATGCATAACTCCTCCAAAGGCCACAAGACACTGATTAGGGACCAGCAGCTCTCACTCCCTCCTGACACCTCACCAAGGCATGGCATTCTACACCCTTGCCGTGCTGTGGGAGTCTGGCATGGCTATCTCTCATCTCCCTCGGCATCATCTATTTCTCTGCTTTCTGTGATAATCTCATGCTCACAGACGTATGCATCACAAAAGCAAGAAACAACATTCAGAACCAGACCTAGAAGAAAGACAGGTCTTCGCTGCTTTGTTGGAAAGACATCACCACTGTCCAAGCTTGTCAGGAAGATCAGGCCTGCCTAGGGGCTCAGGGGTCTTTAATTCTAGGACAAAGGAGTGGGCCCCAAATAAGAGTCACATTCTCTGACTTAGCTGTAGTTGGAGACCCTACATGGGATCCTATTGGGCATGTGTCCAATTTAATATAAAGGAAACTGCTATGCTGGTTCCCATTCAGCCATCAATTTTTGGTACTAGCCGGTGTATTCAATTAGTTAGAGCCAGTGCTGAGCTGGTAAATATTTAAAAACTAACTCTCCAGAAAAAAAAAAAAATCTGATTCGGAGCACTTGCCAATTTCCATGGTGCAAATGCTCCTGCATGGCCCAGTTCAAGCTACCACCATAACATCACTAAACATAGAGATGGAAAAAACTGTACTTAGCCCAAGACTGCATAGTATTTCCATCATGTGGATACAACAAAAGCAAATCATCTCAAGAAGATAGATAACAGCAAAACATACTAAAATAATTAGGAAGTGATGAATCTTGAGTAATTATTTCTTATGTTTCTAACATGATTTATTTCATCGTAAGTTTATGTAATTTATTTATTATGATGATATCCATGTTTAACAATCAGCTTGCAAAATTCCCAAAAATTTAACAATCAGCTCTCATAAATCAATGCCACTCAACCCCAGCACACCACTGGGACAGGCCAAGAGGGAGGAAGCGTGAGCAGTCATTCTGTGAGCCCGACTTGCAACAAGACTGTGTGTGACACCGTTGCTGTAGTTATAAGAACCAAGCAGCAAGGTTTGAATAACTTGACTGCCTTGCAAGGGCCTATAGTCATGAACATGAAATTCTCTGAAATATTAAAGATGACAAACCTGGAAATGGTCTTGCGCCAAAGTGACCCCTTGTATAGCAGATAAAATGAGAAGCCTTATCCCACTTTGCTTGCAACTCAGAGTAGCACACAAAATGTCCTTGGTCCAGGAAGGGTTTTCTGCCAGAGGAAACACACAGAGAAATAAATAATAGACAGTCCTTTCCTGAACAAAATCACTTTATAAAGATTCAAAGTGATACAAATTCCTAAACATTCCTTAAATCATCAAGATGAACATTCAGATGATGAGGGTAAAGCTGTGCCTTTTGAGTTCCAAATGTAATAAAATAAAGATTTTGTTTTTCTGGGCCTAATTGATTTTGTAAATATTAATTTTCTCTATGTCCCCAAACTGGCTCCTTTCCCTGTATCCCCTACAAGTGAGGTACTCATTCACCCCAGTTTGCCCAGGACAGACTTGCTTTTCACTTATTCTTGCGTGGTTATGAACGGTGCCCTCTGTCATTCTCAAAAGTGCCCCCGTTTGAAGGATGAATTACACACTGTCTATGTGTGTTCTTCTCCATGCCCCATGCCTCACAAGTCACTTCCTGGAAGCCAGTCATGACTCTCCTCCCCCTGGTCCTCACAGCCAACCAACCTCCCCATCTGCTCAGGGTGACCACCCAATGTCTCTCCATCTGTGCGTCTGTCCAGCACCCATAGATCACGCCCAGGAAACTGCTGTGCTCTTAACAGTCCCACCCCCACCTCACCCTTCCAATCTGCCTTATGCTTTGAGCCACAGGGCTCTTCCTCAAAGGAGATCCCCCACTACAGGAATCTGTGCAAAGGCTCCACGTTGCATCCAAAGTCTTTCCACAATCTCAGGTGCCTCCACCTCTCTGCACTCATGCCCTGTCTCCCTCCTGTCTCCTCAAGGCCATCGGATACAAGGCACCACTTCTCCCTTCCTGAACCTACCTATCTTTTAGAGCACTGCCTCCAGACACCCACCTTTCCCAGGCTGCGCAGAGCCTCTCCATTCCCTGCTGCATAGATGCCTGTGTGCTCACCTCCCTATGTGGTCGCCCACTGCACGGTAAATCCATCTGCACAAGACCTGCCACCACGAGCAACCTTTCTTATCACTGCTTTCCTGTCATTGTGGCACCTAGCACAGGGCTTCGCACTTCCTAGATGCTTGGTCGTGACAGAAAATAAAATACATTTTTAAAAGAAAGAAAATCTTTTTTTTTAATTAAAGAAAAAATGTTATCCTGACTCTTAAATTATTAATAATAAATTGTTTCCCAAAAGTCCTTTAGAAAAACAGTTCTGGGTCAGGCGTAGTGGCTCACGCCTATAATCCCAGCACTTTGGGAGGCCGAGGTGGGCAGATCACGAGGTCAGGAGATCAAGACCATCCTGGCCAATATGGTGAAACCCCATCTCTACTAAAAATACAAAAATTAGCCAGGTGTGGCGGCAGGTGCCTGTAATCCCAGCTACTCAGGAGACTGAGGCAGGAGAATTGCTTGAACCCGGGAGGCAGAGGTTGCAGTGAGCCGAGGTGGCATCGCTGCACTCCAGCCTGGTGACAGAACAAGACTCCGTCTAAGAAAGAAAGAGAGAGAGAGAGAGAGAGAGAGGAAGGAAGGAAGGAAGGAAGGAAGGAAGGAAGGAAGGAAGGAAGGAAGGAAGGAAAAACAGTTCCAGCATATTACTAAGTGAAAGAAGCCATCTGAAAAGGCTACATATTATATGATTTCAACTCAATGACATGCTGGAAAAGACAAAAATTATGGAGACAGTAAAAAGATCCGTGGTTGCCAGGGGCTAGAGGGGAGGGAGGGATGAATGAGCAGAGCACAGAGGATCCTTCAGACAGTAAAACCCTGTGTGTTATACTATAACATTGAATGTATATCATTATATGCTTGTCCTAACCCATAGAATGACAACACTAAGAGCGAAGTCCAACGTGAACTGTGGACTCGGAATGATGCTGTGTCAGTGAGGGTTCATCAACTATAACAAATGTCCCACTCTGATAATGAGGGAGGCTATGGTGGGGAAGGGGGTATGTGGGAAATCCCTGCACCTTCCATTCAAGGTTGCTGTGAATATGAAACTACTCTAAAATATAAAATTTATTAATCAATAAAACAGTTTTCAACCACATAAAATGCAGAGTAGATACCATATACCCAAAGTCATGCTTTCCAGAAGCAACCCACCATGACGCCCTGTTTTTCTTTTCTCATTAATCTCATTTTACCAATTTCGAAGACAGATATCTTTATTGCAGGAAATGTAAAATGTGTCTGTTAAGTAATCTCTTATTAAAATTTGAAATGAAGGTGATAATGTGCTGTTAAATATCACAGCACTTATCTTTAAGCATAAACGTATCCTCTTGTCCAGGAAAGACACAGCAATGTGTTTATAAGTTATGTTTTTCAAACCTAAAAGAGCAGAGAATGCACCCTGAAAAAGCTGACATAATGTATGGCATTAGGCAAGCTGTGGGCTGTGTCAGCTCCTTGCTTCCTCAATGTAAAACGAGAAATGTGGAGTCGACAGTGACCATGCCCAGCATTCCTGCAAGGTTAGGTCAGGGATGATATGATCATGGGACGCAGTGCTGGGCTGTCAGGCCATCTGGTCTCCATCTGCCTCACATCTAACACATCTTGAAGCCTGCCCTCAAAGTCACCACCCTCAAGGACACCTGACAACTGTCCTGACACTAGCAAGAGCTGGTTTTGAGCCTTGGCTCCTCCAACTTTCCCAGGTACCCTCTTTCTCCACCTCTCATTGCCTCTTCAAATCCCTGGCTCCAGCCCTTCCTACCTGCTATGGCCCCTCTTCTTGGCTCCGAGGACACATTCAGACCCACTCTGGCTTTCCAGATCTGCCAGCACTCTCTGGACCCCTTCCCTCTCCTCCCTTCAGCCCCATGGACCCTCTCAGGTCTCTTCAACTGGAAATGGGCTCTGACCACTTCACTCTGAAACCCTGGGAAACTTACACTCACTCTCACTCTCTGGGCCTCAATTTGTTGATTAGGGAAACTGGAAGATTAAAGCAGCTGCCCACTGAGGTTCCTTCTGTTGTATGAGCTCTCCTGCAATTGTCCTTGGCATCCTTAAAACATTAGATCAGGAAGAGGAAAGTGACAACTTTCCTACTGGAGATACTAAGCTCAACTCTGTGATATGATGAAAATATAGTGCATTTTCAACAACAATAGTAATAACAGACCTGACTCTTCTTCCCTTTATATGATGGGAGAGGCACCCATGTTGGTCAATTCCACCCCATCCTTTTAACTTTATGGGATCTGTCACTGCCCTCCTATTCTATAGGATGGAGTAACAATTCAATAAGGACAGTGGGGTGGCAGTTTAAATGTTAGTTATGCTTGAGTTTCCTTGAAATAAAATATAAAAATTAAAAATTAATTATCTGTTACTAATGTAATCTCAAGTATGCTATATTAATTTAGCAGCTGCAACACAGAATGGCAAAATAAACATGAATTCATACATTAACTAATGTTTAATTCATTTAAAAACCATTACATTAGCTGACGTGAAATGTCAAAATAATTATGTCTTCAAACATGGCTGAATTCAATATGCCAGAGAAGCATTCAAGAACGAGGAAGAAGTTTGATTTGAATTTTACCTGAGTACAATTCCACATGCTGAAATCATGTACTGACCATCCTAACTTGTACTTAGATTGTAACATGTTATTGCTTTCTATTTGACAATAGAAAGCAATATTCCTAATCACCAATGTTCATAACATCTAATTGGAAATACAGATTATCTTAAAAGAAAAAAAAAATGCAAAACCCCTACACAGCAATTGGGGTTTCATTTTTAAATCAAGCTTGTCTCACTTCTCCATCTGTTTTTTACTTCTTTTCCGTGTTTCTTAGACCCAATGACCAATCAATTCTTCTGTTCAAAGAACCATTTGTATTTCAAAAAAAGAGGTGAGTGAGCAGATTAGAACAAACTCTGTGATAGACAGTCTGTAAATCACCAATTTTTACTTATGAACTAGCTCTGTGAGCTGAGAAGTACTTTTCCCAATGGCAGGCAGGGAGATGCATGGGAAACTAGCATGTTCAAGGCATCTCCTAAGGGCAAGCCCCTTGGAGGTGACTTATTTTATTTAATCCTCTCACATAGGTTGAAATATGTGTTCCCCTATGTTTTGTTCAAGGCTCACAGAGACTCAGTAGCTACCCTGTGTCACTTAGCGTGAATCGAGGAACTCAGCCTGTTCAATGTCAAAGTGCCTGTTTCTTCCATTACACCACTTTTCACGACATCACTTGTTGTAACAGTCATGTTTAACTATGCCCTTGAAGACATTTGGAGCAATAAAGCCTTACCAGACATGACGGTGTGTAATCCTAAGTGGTCTATCATGATAGTAAGGAGGCAGCCTTACAGACCACGAGTCCCAGCACACTAGCTTCAAGTCCATCAGTGATTGTGTAGATTAACTCAAATAGTGACAAGTGCCCAGCCTAGTGCCAGCCCTCATGCATTGACCTTTCCAATCCTTCTACACATATTGATTGAATGCCTATCATATCTATGTCAGGATGTTTCCTAAACCCTGGGGAGATATAACGGTGAACATGGCAGACACACATCCTCACTGCGCCAGTCTCACCTGAAATGTCCTTACCCAGAGCTGCACTCCCAAGGTCTTCTCCTCTCCTCCACCCCTCACTCTCACCCTCATGGCCATACGTTAGCTTCTTTCTAGCACTTATCAATACAAAGAAGAATTCATCTTCTTTGAGTTTGTTTTGAAAAATGGATTTCACATACTAGATTTATCCAAGGCTCACTTCTTCTCCATAACACTCCCCAGCAGATGCTGGTCCATACTCCTGGCTCGCAGACTCAGTGGCCCATACCCACCAGTTAACCATCCTGGGGCCAGTGATCCTTCCTCTCTGATAGTGGATGTTGGGAATACATCCACTGTGCCCCTTCCTGAGTAAACCAGACTCTTCTCTACGATATCCTCCCCAGGCCCCCACAGTTTGCTCAGTCTTACAACATAGGCCCAGAGTATGCCAACCGCCCACCCACTACTCATTGCTGAACACTCCCCCGTGAACAGTTTTCACATTTAGTAATTCCAGTGAAACATGACCTAAGTATAGAAGGGCTCCTGGCATTTATTCATTCATTCAACAAATGTCAATCAGCATTTCCCATGTTCTAATCCCCATGTGCCAGGTTTGGAGTGATCAATAGACAGGCACAGTCTTCGGGTCCTCATGACTGTAGAAGAGACACATGTTCATCATCAGAACAGCACACGGTGGTAAGAGCCATAACAGGGAGCTAAGGCCATGTGACCCCAGACAGGGTAGGTCAAGGAAAGCTTTCCAAAGGATATAAGACTTAATCTACAAATCATAATATAACAACCTGATAGTAATCTAAATAATAATAATGATCCAGGAGTAAATCAGGGGAAGGTAGAAGAATGAACATGTGGATCAGATGAGCTAGGGGGCAGGGAGTCTGGGACCAACCATGGTGGAGCTCACACAGGATATGGAGGTAAGCCCCACTCAGATGACCCCTCACTTTTCTCTTTTCCTCTTGATCTGATCGGATCCACCCTTAGCTTCCCCATTTCTCCTCGCTGCCCCACCTCTTCTGGGCTTCGATTCATGTTGTCAAAACCCACTGCCATCAGCTAAGGCAGAGCACTCAGGCCCGACAGCCCACTGAGGGAACTCTGGGCAGCCCTGCTCAGGAGACTGGGCCAGAGGATGGCAGCACCTCTGTGCACCTGTGAATCACTTAAACAACTGTGGTCCATTCCACGGACTCAAGTGTGCTCTAAAATTCAACACTCACATTTTCAGAAAAGCCCTAAGATCCTCCAGTTACCTTCTAAAGCGGCTCGTGGGACTCTCCTTCAGCAGTGGCATTGAAAGGAGATTGCACTGAAATGTGCAGGAATGGATTTGGCAAGGATCATCTTAGTAGATGAATTAATTCATTTACAATATAGTCACTATTGCTGGACACTGTGCTGAGTATTATGGAGACACAGAATTTAACAAGAGACTGATCCTGTTCCCAGGAAGCTTACAGACTGTAGCAGGAAAAGAAGATACCAAAAACTATGATACCAGCAATAAGTGTCACAGCTGTAGGGAATTCAGGTTACTGCAGGGACTACTCAGCACCCATCAGGAAATGCACACAGAAGGTTATGACACAGTTTCTATCTTCAAAAAATATTGACTGCAGCAGAGGGAGGAGATGTAAGAAAGAAGAAAGTACAGAACTGCATGTGATCAAAGTCTCTTCGAGGTCTTTGCCAGTAAAGGAGATGGGGGAACACTTCTGGACAAGATACCCCAGCTCTAGGCCACAGAGTATGGCTGTAGTTTAGGTCAAGGAGACAAGGGAAGCACATTCCATAAGCAAAGACAAAAAGACCAGAAAGCCCAGCAAAGGGGCAGGAAGGGGCTGTTCAATTTGACTGGAGCAGAGACCCAGTGGTGGGAATGAGGTTGGGAGGGGCAGATTCCTCAAGGCCTGGTTGCCAGACTAAGACAGCTGTGCTTTGTTCTAAAAGAAACTCAAGTGCAATCTACTCATCTCTCTGACACCCGAGTTCTGAAAACTGGCACAGGCCAATTGCAGAGCACTTGTTATATGAGCAGCCCACCTGCAACGATGGTGAGCACACGTATGACCATCATCTTCACTTTCTGCAGGATCTCCATGGCTTCTGAGGGCTTCACAGGCTGCTGGAAAACTTCACACATCTCAACAACACTTAGAAAAAATATATAAACAATGACATGAAAGGGTAAAAATGTGCATCCAATGTGCATTTCTGCTGTGTAGGCTAAGTTATAACACACATGTAAGAACCTCCCTGCATAATCATATTTTCTTCGTAGGAACATAAGAAAACACAGATAACACAGTCTGGACCTTTAGAAAACTTTCGGTCTCCCAAATTAGTGCAAAGCATCAATTTTGTGGCGAATATGCTTAATATTTGCTTTTCTTTCTTATTTTGGTCCATTCTTTTGAAATGCAAAGGTAAATGTTGAAAGGGCATCAAAACATGACCATACGAAGAGCTAAGGTGTAAATTCCCTCTGTGGAGAACTGAAAAATTTGAGATAAAACCTGAGATTGGTGGAGAATGGGGTTGCCAGGACCACCTCAGCTCAAAAGACAATTCAGAGAAGAGCACTAAAGTCAAACAGGGTATATAGTTGGGGATCAGAGCACTAAAATCAAGCAAAATACAGTTTCAGATCAGAAGCAAGGAGGAGATGAGGAAGGAAGCTCTGAAAACTAGCAGTCAAATTCCAAGGTAGCAATAGTTATTTGTGCCAGTGGCTACCTGTCTCACCAACTAAAGACATCTTTCCAACTCATAGAACATGACTGGATTCAGGGTACAGCTCTGTAGTAATAGAACGGACAGAAAATAAGTCAGCTTGCCTGGCAAATGAACCAAGGTTGACATGGCATCTCCAATCTCCATGTGGGCCAGAGAGGAAGGCAGGGAGAAACAGAGACCAGGGACCACCCTAACAGTATTGTCACCCAGAGAAAGGACAGGTAGGGACCGCTGCAGCATCTCTGGGACTCTGCACATCAAGAGGCACAGGGTCTCCAACCTAAGGCAAGAGACTGCTTCCAGGGCATGACAACTAGCAAGACTGGAGCTTTTAAGAACAGGTTTCTATTGACATAACATTCAGGGATGGGAGGGCTTGGAGGTGGATCAAACACGTGAAGTTTGGCAGAATCAAAAGAGGGCAGAAGCCAGCAGCTGCCTGGCCCTTTCCTGTGGTTAGCTACAACTGAAGGCATAATTTTCTGTGAAGCAAGCAGCTTCATGTTCCTGTGTATATACTGAGTGATTGGACCCTTGGCTGCCAGAGGATATGAATAGAAAAATTGCTTATGCAGCTAGTCTTGGGGCGAGTGAATAGAATAAAAGGTTTTTGCTTCTGAGAATAAAATAACTAACTTCTGAAATATTTTGAATAAATTATAATTATATTTGAATGCCAAATAATGAGTCAAATTGTGAAAAAAATGACTGGACTTGAATTGCTCTATGTTGAAGCCAACTTCAGAGTGTAAAGAAAGTTGAAGTCAAGAAAAACTACTTACCCTGGTTCAGTGTAATTCCTGCATGGTTCTATTTTACAGTTACTGCGGTAGGGAAAAAAACAAAGTGAATTCGGCTTGCTTTTTATTACCTTTGATCTGTCAGTGGGATTTGTTGCCAGTATTTAGTCAATACAAATAATCCTCTCAGGTATTTCTCCAAACAGGAAAATGGTTTGAAACTACAAGGAAAGTCAATTATCTCTTTCTTGGTTCTCTCTTCTTTTTCTGATGTGACATTCTTTCCAGTGGTTGCTTTAATGAAAATCTCAAAAAGTGGCTGAAACAAAGGTCTTGTGGAAGTTGTCCATTCAGAGTTGTTAAACAGAAGCCCTTTCCTCCAGAGAGCTATTCTACTTGAAACATTATGGATTGCTTTTTCAAGTTGATGATGAGTTATATTCCGAATCAAAGGTGTGTCAAAATATAAACTTTTACTCAAATCACCTTCATAGTCACTTTTAATTCCACTGGAGGCCTCTAAAACTCTTTCTATGGTTTCCAAAAGGTTATCTGGATGCTGAGTAAATGTCATCAACAGATTAGAAACATTCCAATTATCCTTCTTTAAGTTTTTCCAAAGAGCTTCTAAGGTGAGACCGATCACCATTTTCAAGACAGACCCTATTTCTGTGCTGTTTTGTGATAATATTTTATCCAAAAAAGGGATCTCTTCATGAATTATTTCCCATTTTATATCTTGAGGGTCACTATGAGTGGAAATTGGATTAGGGTATAAGAAGTCCATTTGGTTGGTGATGTTATTTATAGGAACTAAGCAACCCAGAATTTCTTCCCATAAGTTGATAGAATCCATAGAAAATGTTTGAGTTTCATTGTTAAATGCTACCATAAGACTCTTCACATCTTCCAAGTTGATTCTCACAGATGTTAAAAATTCAGCAATTTCTTCCAAAATATCAGAAAAGTCCTTAGATTGGTTCATATATGACAGTATGCTAGGTGAGATACTGAAAATATCAGAGTTTGATGATGTATAAGTTTCGACCCCAATCATTTCAAAGGCCAAATCAAGAAATGGCACCAACAAATCATTTATCTTTTCAAATGTGAAATGATCTATTTTTTTCAAAGTAGCTATTTCTTTCACAAGATTTTGAACACTTTGTTGCATGATGGAATAGAGAGTGACAAAGAATTTCACACTGTCCTTGGTATTGGAGACAAAATGAGTTTTAAAAACTGTGGCCATCTTCCCTGAAACTTTCTTGACCAGTTTAAGAAGTTTCACAATGGAGTCCACTGATGTGGCAAGATCTCTCAGGTCAGCACTGTCATTCAACAGCATGACCAGAGTCCCAGACATTTCTAAGAGGGGTTCCGGGACACGACTTTCTTCACCAGCTCTTGAAAGAGGACCAAGTAATCTCTTAGTAAGTTCTAATGTTGCTCTGTTTCTTAGAGGGAATGAATTATTTATAAAGAAAAGCAAATCCGTTAGATTAGCAAGTATAACTTCTTGGAGGGTAGGATACGAAGCATAGAAGTCCTTATTAGGAGCATTTAAAATTGTATCCAGAAGCCTTGCCATCTCTGTTGAACATTCTCTTACAAGGTGAAGAGCTGCCCTAAGATCCTGATTGAGTTTGAAGAGGTCCCCAGACGTATTCCCATGGAAAAACAACTGACTCACCACTGTGAAAAAGTCTGTAGTATTTTCAGTCCCATTTTTCACTGGCGTTTCCCTGAGAAGAGCATTAAATAAATCTTGCATGAACTTCAGTTCTTGATGACTATCAAAATAAAATTCTCCATTGTCTAATATAAGTGAACTTTTTATTAGGTGATATATAGTCTCCTTTAAACTTGAAAAAATGTTCCTCAATCTGTCTTCTTTCATCAGAGCAAGAAATTGATCCAGTTTCAGAACTTCTAGAATTTTATCTTTTGGGACAAAACTGTAAATATATATATATATATTTATTTACTTTTAATTTTATTTTTAATACATTAACAGTGGAAATATTAAGATATATAGTGATTTATATTATTTTATTTGTTTTATACTAGCATCATGGGAGGATAATACTGAGCAAAAGATGACATGCTAAAATAATTTCAGATGAAACTCAATATTTTGTTGCCAAATCATGAAAACAGTGAGGAATTTCATAAACAAATTCTATTACAGTATTTTGAACCTGGCAACTTAAAAAGCCACATACTTTTGCTTACGAAAAAGGTTAAAATGGCTTTTACTTAGGAAAGAAGGTACAATGACTACAATGTGATTCTTGATGTAAGAGATAAGTCTCTGAAAAGTGGTTAGCATATTTATACTTTTGTGAGCTTGAGAAGTACTAGCAAATTGCTTAGACAGACGTATCAACGTGACTAGGCTGAATAATAGCCCCAGAAGTCCCTTTCTTGTATGTTTCTCATCTGGGTGGGCTATAGGGGAGATTCCCTCATGAGAGATGGAGGATAGATGGGAGTTATAGCCATTGTGTAATATAAATACATCTTCTCCCAGCTATTCAATCAAACACTAATCTAGATGTTGCTATAAAGAGATTTTGCAGACGGAGTTAAAATTCCTGATCAGTTAATTTTAAATTAGTCAGAAGGGATACTGTCCTGAGTGGGCAGGAAAACTCTGAAAGAGCGCTTAGAACCTCTGTAACTCAGAGGCACAAAATCACCGCTGGGTATTCATAGTCAGTGGCTCTCCCTTCCCCTGGTCTTCCTTCCTAACCACCTGTGGACAAGGAGCTTTCACTCATGCCCGCGGCGCCCCTGCCTGCTGTGGGCCTCCCTTCCTGACAGTCGGCCCTACTGATTGCAGACTTACTTAGCCAGCCCCCAAAATTGTGTAAGCTAATTTCCTTGGATTAAATCCTTTGACGGTTTTTGTTACTCTGATTGAAACTTGACTAAAGCAGACATCGTGGAATAAATTGGAATTTCCCTCCAGCCTTTTCACTGGCAAACTTCAAATGAGATTTTTGAAGATATATGAAAAAGAGATAATGTGACTATCACTTTTTATGTCTCTAAATGCAAGCATCACAGTAGATTCATTGGGTTGAGAATATTTAAGTCCCTAGTTGGTGATTAGACAGTTAGTATAGCAATTCAAATTATGGCAATCCTGTATATGCATGTACAGCTATGAAAACTAATTTTTCAGATCCATACAAAACGGAATTCATAATTGTTTTCATAATCTAAAAATGTAAGAATAATATGTGATTAATTACCCTGGACTGGGTTTATATTTTACTAGTTAGATGACAGTAACCAAAATTCTTTTACGTTGACATTTTGATAAAATATTTATTAAGACAAATTTACATCAAAGATATTTCAAAAGTATTAGATACAAATACTGTTTTTGACATGCCTATACTCCAGAAAATAAAGTAGTTTGAGATATACCACAACTGCATATATGACACAAAGCAAAAGTAGACTCACCTCATCTCTGCAATAACATCTTTGTGGAAATCTTTCAGCAGAAGAGATATTTTGTTCTCAGAATCTTCCTTTAGCAAAAGGGATAAGAGTGTTTTCAAAAGTTGTTCCATGAAACCTACTATGCTTCTCGGAGGGAGAACTGTTTTCCTACTAGTTTCTGACTGCATATGGTTCAAGATAAGGTTAATGAAATTCATTATTTGAAGGTCAGTATCACTTAAGTTCCAAGCTGCTTCTTGAGAATTCCCAGCTAAGTTATTGATTGAATTAATTAGGATGTTTTCAAAAAGCAACTGAACACCTGAGAAATTAGTCCGCTGTTCTTGATTTAGCAGATGAGTAAGAAAGGCAACATCAAAATTGCCTTCTCTAGATATATTTTTTAAAGAGCCCCAAAAAGTAGTAATAGCTTTGGTTAACAAAGCTGTATCTTCAGTTGAGCTCTCATTGGTCACAGGAATGAATAGTGTTTCTATCATTCTGGAGTAATCCTCATCTGCATATTCCTGAAGCCAGTTTTTTGTGACCAATAGAAAATCTTCAATAATTTCTAATGTCTTCAGTGACTGTGAATCCAAGATCTCCAGGAAACGGGCAAATTGCAAAGTAATGTTTTGAAGAGCCACTGAATTTATACTTTTGATATCTTTGTTCATTTCAGAGAGCAGGTGTCTGACTCTAAAATCTTGGGTTAGGTCTTTCACAATTTGTTGAAACTCAGGCCATAGTTCTTCAAAGTTGTAAGTTGTTTCATCCTTTTCAATAAAATTTGATAAGGCTTCTGAACTGCTACCTGTGAGATTTGCATTCAGGAGCATCATAAATGAAGACAGTAGATTATGAGTACTTTTTTCTAGGCTCCAGTCTTCAGAAATCAATTGTATTGTCCTTTCCAAATTCGAGGAAATAATATTTTGAACAGATGTCTCTGTGTCTTCATTAACGTTAAGGATCTTGTTTAAACTAGCTAGTTTGTCAAGAGTATTTTCACCTGATGTAACTTTTGTAAAGTTGACATTTTTAAGTTTTTCTATGATTTGCAAAGCAACTTGCTTTATGGGACCACTAGGACAAAGTCCAGAGATGCTATCCCTAGTTTGATTTATTGAAGGTGGGACAAATGGTAATATCTTATGCCAAAATTTCTGCACAGTTTTCACAAGAGAAATGTTAACATGGAAGACGTCAGCGAGTTCCAGAAGAATAGAATTCCAGTCCACTAATTCATGAATTATGCAGACCACTTTCCTATTTATTTCCATTCGGGAGGTTTCATTTGAACATGGTGAATCTTCACCTTGGGGAGACAGGTGGAGATGATCGAGTATACTGGCCACTTTGCCATAAAAGGAAGAAGACATGAGCCCATGGACACTGCAGGGGTCTACCTTTGAATTCTGCTGAAATCCAGAATTTGTATGATTCCAGCACCAAACCACAGGAAAACAAGTTAAAGTCTCTGAAATAATATCTGGCTTATCTGATATTAATTCAATTATATCCAAAAGAATTTTTATCACAATTGTGAAGTCTTCCTTGGTGATATCTGAAATGGTTATGCCATGAAGGAGTATGAAGCTGTAGACATCCTTGAGGCCTTCAGTGATGTTTTTACCAAGTACTCCCTGTAGGAGCCTTACAGCATGAGGAAGCACATAGTACACATCTACCACAGCATCCACAGCATCTTTAGGAAACAGGCGTGAGAGCTGCAGCAGGTGATTAACATTCCAAGAATGCGAGCTGTCTACAAATTTTTTCATCAAGTCAACAAGCAAGTTGACCCCTAACTTGCCAGTTCTCACACTACTGATATTCCTAAAGAAATCCATTAGGCTTGCACTAATTTGTTCAAGTTGATCCACCAAAATGTCTATGTCTGCCTTGTTAAGAGTACGCATGACAGAAGTTACCTTCTTCAAAACTTGCATATAACCTGTATTTTGTGGACTAATGTGATGAACTGCAGGCATTAAGGAGGTGAACACATCCCTCATCAGTTGAATCCCAAGACCCGTGGCTTTCATTATTTCAGGTGAAATTATTTTTGGTGAATTTTGGAGGTCATGAGATAAGTTGAAGGCAAGGTAACTAGCTAAATGATAAATGGAATTGCCTACACTGTTTACATCTTTTTCTTTTGGACTGGTGGCAAATATGTTTAACAAGTTTCCAGTTTTAGTAGAGGAACTATTTTCCAGGATGTTAGAGTAAATACCTCTTACAAGCTTCTGAAATTCCTTCCCCAGTGTTATTAAATGAAGCCAAATAGTTTGAAACTGATTAGGAATTTCATCTGACATTTCTATTGGTCTTAGAATTAATTCAGTAAAATATTTCCAATTGGATTGAGATGCAAAATCAAAGTCTGTTGTTAAATTGTTGATGCTCATCCTTACTTGCTTTGTGGAATCATTTAAAAGAGCTAATAAAATCTCAAATTTAGGTATCTTCTCTTTTTCAAAGACTGTAGTAAGTACAATATTTAGAAAGTCAGTTACGTCTTTCAAGTAAATATTTACACAATTTATATGCAAGCCATTTGATGAACAAAGAGGTTTTTTTACATTTAACACCCCAGTTATAATTTTCAATATAGAGTTCACTTTCTTTTCTATATGTCTGAAATTCCCCAAAATATTTTGAAGATGGCCTTGTGAAAAACTGGAGTTAGACACCAAATACAAATGGTTTATGACATCTAACCACACAATGCATCCTTTCAGCCTGCTAATTGTGCTCTCAGAGGAAAATGTGGAATTTATCATGTCTAGAATACGTAACATCCTCTGTGAGGTATTTACATATAAAAAGCCATCTTCTAAAATAAACTCAGTAACATTTTGGAAAATATCAGCACAGGAAAACAAATCTCGATCATCTGATACATTTCTAAGAAATACTATTGCTTCTCTTAGCTCAGTGATGATATTTTCAAATTTCTCTCCATAATTTGTGAGATTATTTGAAAGAAAGTCATTTATCGAATCTACATTTCTGTCTATATTTTCTGAGGTACTGCTAAACTCAATGAAAACTTTGAGCAGAGAATTTAAAAACTCTCTGCTTGTACTTGTGTTGAATGGAAATGTCTTCAACTGATGCAGGGCAGTTTCCATGGTGAAAAGGGATTTCTCCACTGGCTCCAAGTTAAGTTTTTTTACTGAAACTAACGCATTACCTAAAGCTACCAAAAAATCCCTGAGATCCAGGAAGTCCTCCCAATCATGGAAGTCATCGGCTTGAGTTACATTTTTAAACAAATTTAATATGAGTCTAGCAACATTATGTGTGGGAAATATTCCCTGGCAGCTTTTGGAGACTTTCACATGATTTTCCAGTTCATCCAAAAGCTGAGTGAAACCATGATGAAGAGATGTGAAAACATTCAGGTCAAACTTAAATAATTGAGATATGCTTTCCCAGATTTCAGTCCACATTTGAAGCCATGAAACAGTACAGTGAATGGACATAAACTTGTTGAACACACTGACATTTGCTGAGAGGTTTGAAAAAATTTGTGCCAATGGAAAAACAAATGAAGTCTCCTCACTTGTTGAATAATTTATGGAAGAAATGTGTTTACTGTCCGAAATCAAGCACTCATTATCGAATAGGCCTTCTACTGAACTGTTGAAGAATTGGCTCATGTATTGAAATAAAGAAAGACGAAAATCTTCATCAATTATGAGCAGCTGTTTGAGGCCTGTCAAAGTAGTGTGGATCACTTCCAGTTCTTGGCCTTCTGTGGACATGAAGGATTGGGCTTGAAGCTCCAAAAAGTTAAAAATTGAAAGCAATTGCTGACAATAAGATACATTAGAAATTCCCCCAAGAACCTCTGCTGCCTTAAATAAAAATGCAAATGCTTTACTGATGCTTTGGAAATTAAATTGTTTTATGATATCCAAAATGTGTTTTGAGATTTGTGTAAGGTAAGTCAGCGAAGAACCTCTACTCTGAATATTCAAAAATTCATAAATGTATTGGTAAAATGAAGAATAAATTTGCAGAAGTAAAGCTGAATCCTTGTCCTGAAAGACATTTAGGTATTTTTGAGTCAAAATTTTACCAACTTCTTGTTTTTGAGGTTCAGAAAGGGCTGAGAAAAAATCAGATGCATTCCTGATAGTGTAGACCGTGTTCAGAACTTCTGAGACCTCTCCCTCCTCCAAGAATCCAAATTCATGGAGACTCTTTATTATAGTCTCACTTAGACGTACAAAATCTATGTTCATAGCTGGTGATTCCGGCCAATCCGAATGGAACAACTGGGAAAAGTTAAAACTTGTACTCAGAATCTCATTTTCTGGAACAGAAAAATTTAAAAGTGAAAAGAAGTTTTCCAGTTTAGCTCTTTTTCCTTTTGAAATGCTGTAGACCCATAATTCTAGTAATTTGGGATTAATTTCAAAAAGTATTAATTCCAGGAATCTCAAAAGATTTTTTGGTTCCTTCCTTATCCAGTGACTTTCGAGAGTTTGCATTTTCCAGCTCACTTCTTTGCCAAATTCCAAGAGTTTCTGAGCACCAGTGGCAGATGGGTCTCTCTTTAAACTTTTCAAATGATTTGTCCACAGAGAATTTATATTCAGAATATCCTCCGTGAGAGATGGGAGGTGATGGAAATTGGGAACGATGGAGGAGTCAAAAAGATTAGGCAACAATAATTTCTCAAAAAATTCCACAAATGATAAAAGAAAGTTCATTTGTTCATCCTCAAGGGTGTGCAACTTCTTTTCCATCATTAGAAGGTGCTTTGTGAAATTTAAAGCCCTGTAATATTAGTAGAATTATTTTAATATAAAATAAAAAATAAATGTGATTTATCACATTTCCAAGTTAATACTCACTTATTGATAGTAAAACACAAATGAAACATTTAATAGACAACATGTTTTTCAACAGAAATTAAACTAATGTGAGCATTTGAAAGTGTTTTAGAAATCCACAATGAAGTTATATACATTTAGCTTAAAATGTTTCCTACTACCAAAAAGAATGCATTCTTAATTATTTTCCCCTGGCATATTTAACAGTAATATGTATGATTATTAAAGACAAGTTCGCTATTTATGTCAGAAGAATCCTAGGATTTAATTCCATTTCAAAATGTCTTAGCATATAAAGGTAGTACAAATAGTGGAGTGCATTAGAAACCACGCCTGTATGGTTTAAGGAAGGTGTGGGGATTCCCTGTCCTGGAAGGCAATTCCAGTGCTCTTTCAACAATACTATATACATCCTACTGTTAGAAACTCATTATTATATATGGGGTAATTTATCTCCAGGTGTTTAATTTTAAAATACAGAGTTCTTAGAAGAGCAACTCAGTCACTGTAAGTCCCCTCTTGTAATAGAAACCCACACTTGCAGAACTAACTTCTACTGACTCAGAAGTTACAAATCCACTTTTGACATTCTTGGGGTTACATGTGTTTCAGAATTCAGGATGTTCATCCTTTAGAAACGCAGCATGGTACAGGTATCAGATATGTATTCATGCACCTCAGTGAGGGCTGGGGCAGCCCTGATCATCAACATATTAACACTTTGGCAGTGAGACCTGTGAATGATCTTGCGGAGCAAGAAAATACTCTTGAAACTGCTTCACATCAGTTCATGCTAAATCTCTGCTGAATGAGCTGTGATATCAACCATAAGAAAAGTCTCTATTTTCAGACTTTGTAAGAGTTCAGCATTGTGGGTAAGGAATTTTTGACCTTTATTGGCTATTTATGCCTTAAAGGGTAAACTACTTCCGAAGTTTTTTAACCCTCTGCTCCTGTTGTATAACACACTCTCTGACATAGGGCAGACACAAGACCTATCAAAGGCAAAATGCTGTTTACCTCCCTGATAGCTGACATCTGAGCACCCCAGACAAAAAATATAGGCTTAATTTAGTTAGTTGTTATTTTTAGGACAGAATGACTTCTTTGAAATAATTCCTTGGGGAAAAAAAAAAATCCCATCAGGAAAGAGAAAGTTCTATTAGGAATTCAACATAAACCTTGCCTAAATCCAGCCCTCCCTAAGAATAGATGCCTAATTATCATCCAAGTCATTGTGCCTTGATAGAGGAGAACATAAAACTATGTTCCATTTGATAAAACTGCCTGATAAAGACAGTTCCATTTGAAATGGAACTGAGAGGGTTATGGAGTAGCAATAGAATAATAAATTGAAGTAGAAGTAGTACTACTAATAGTATTATTGCCACATGTTTTTATATTACTTTAGTAATTTAGCTTATAAAGCACTTTCACAACTACAATCTTAGTTAATTCCTACAACAGCCTTTTGAAGTACACGTCATTATTTCCCTTTCATGAAAAAAGAAACTTTTTATTTTTTTAATTGGCAGATTCAAGCTGTTATTATGTAGCATGACTAGGAGACCACCCAGGTTTTGTCATTTCAAGTTCAGCTTTGTTAATATAAATTGTGCTTAACGTTCAACGATTTTTCATTCATTAATTCAACATCTAATTATCTACTAATATCCATGATGAAAGACACTGTGCCAACTGCTATGGGTCTACAAATATAAAGTTAAATGTGTCCTTGTGCACAAATAGACTAGTTTTGTGCTGGTTTTCCAGGGCTGTTAAATTTTTGAGGCTCTCAGGAAAGAGGAATTAAAAATCTGACATAGGCAAGGAATTGATTCTCTAGAGGGTCCATCCCATTGTCCTTTCTTCTGTTCCTACTAATAGCTGGGCTTAAGAAGTTCCATAGGAATGACTAATCCCCATTTTAGACAGATACAGCAGAATGGTTCTCCAACTTTGCTGTGCACTGGAACTACCTATAGAATGTGTGAAATATACAGAAACCTGGGTCCTGTACACAGAGTAAAATTTCCTATGTCTGGGGCAAGGGGCAAGCATTTTTATTTTTAGCGATCTTCACAGATTTAATCCATTCTCAAATTTGAGAGTTACTGCTCTTATGCAAAACTTCTCTCCCATCATGTTCCAACACACCTCACAGATAACAGAGTATACCTTTAAACTGGACACACTGTTCATAACCATACATAAAAATCTGCATTTCAATACATGTGCTGAAATAGGACAGCAGAAAATAGTCTGACAAATTTAGTTCCAAAGACCACTTCTCCCTCCCAGGAGTCTTTGAAACTAACAGAATCTATAGTATTGATTTCCTGTTTAAACTCTAGGCAACTAGCTAAGACAATTTTTCAAAAACAAATACCTTATTTTTGGAGCATCTATTACAAATCGTGTTATTATTGAAGGAAAATCTTCTTACTACAATCTGTATTTCCTTTCAAAATCCATTGATTCATACATTCTATTAAGCAACTTGAAACTTGAGTCATACATTCTATTAAAGAAATATTTATTGAACAGCTCACATGAAAGATTGTGTCAATATCTAAATCAGGCTCATAAATTTTAAAGAATGTATATCCTATAATTAGATTTTTATTATCTTCAGATGATAATTAAATCAAGACCTAGAAGTTGAATTCTGATAACTTACCTGGATATGGAAGCTGTTGGAGACTTGAGTAGATTATTCAAAAATTGAAAATAATTATCACTGATGATTTTCCAATCCATGTTTTCTTCAAAACAAGGAGATTCCTCAGGAAAAGCTAAATGAAAAGACATTTCCTACATTAATTATAAACTGGTTATAAGAGACAAATCTAAAAAAGTAAAAAATGCTAGAGTAGTTCACCTAATGTGATTGAAAATGTTTAAAAAAAAAAAGAAAGAAAAAAAAGGACAATTAGGAATCTTTCTAATTTGACTTGTGCTTCCAGACAAGATGAAGTACCAATCACTGGCCATTGAGCAATGTAAGACACTGATCCAGGAAAGGCAGTAGATGACAGGGTGAGACTTATGATTATGCCAGCTTGCTGCTTTAAGACAGAGTCCAGGCCATGGCACAAGAAGGAGAACTGAGCCAGAGTCCAGTGGACATGCTGATTTGGGAAAATGCTTAGACTCTGAATAACAGCTAGAAACCACAGGATGGAGTGCCAGAGAAGACTGCACAAGGCAATGAAATTGGCAATGTGCTTCTCTCAACTATTCAGATGAGTAATAATCAACACATGCATTTGAGGAAACTACCTGAGACCATGGAAAAAATACCCAAAAGAATTAAAGGTGGCCAGGTGCGCTGGCTCATGCCTGTAATCCCAGCACTTTGGGAGGCTGTGGCAGATGGATCACCTGAGGTCAAGAGTTCAAGACTAGTCTGGCCAACATAGTGAAATCCCATCTCTACTAAAAATACCAAAAAATTAGCCGGGTGTGCTGGTGGACGCCTGTGATCCTAGCTACTTGGGAGGCTGAGACAGGAGAATTGTTTGAACCTAGGAGGCGGAGATTGCAGTGAGCCGAGATCACGCCACTGCACTCCAGTCTGGGTGACAGAGTGAGACTGTCTCAAAAAAATAAATAAATAAATAAATAATAAATGATTTTTTTAAAAAAAGAAAAGGATTAAAGGTAACAGTTTCTGGTGGTCAGGACCAGGAATATACTTTGTTTCTATCAGCCAGATTGAAATAATCCATAATTCATTAGTCATTGAGTACAGTACAAAAAAAGGGTCTTGCTTCAGGAGTGGGAAGTATTTAAAATCAGACTGAGCACTTTGCCAGTCCTGCCTAACAAATCTTAAAAACGAGATCCTAAAGAATCAAATTATTTCAAGCAATTTGTTTCAAGATTATTTATAGGCATGCAAGAATAATTAGCCCAAAACAACGTTAAAATTTGTAATATTTGGAATTCAATAAAAAACTACCAGGCATGTAAAGAAGCAGAAAAATATGACCCATAATAAAGAGAAAAATCAATCAATCAAAAATGACAGCAATTATAGAACTAGCAGAAAGGAACATTAATCACATAAAATGTTTATGTTATTTAGTTCATACTATTAGGTTGATGCAAAAGTGTATGGCAAATCTATTTAAAAGCAATTACTTTTACGCCAACCTAATGTATAATTTACATGCTCAAAAAAACTCACAATTTGTAAGACCGGATAAAACAAGATCCAATTGTATGCTACATGCAAGAAATGCACTTGAAATATAAGGACATAAACAAGTCACAAGTAAAAGGATGGAAAAGGCATACCACCCTAACACTAATCAAAAGAAAGCTATCAAAGTAGGTTTCAGATGATAACATAATTATCATCTCATGATGATGAAAGTATCAATCAAGAACATATAACAATTCTAAATGTTTGCGAACATTACAACAGAGCTTCACAACACATGAAACAAAAACTAATAGAAATCTAAGAAGAAATGGAAAAATGTACAATTATAGTCAAGACATTTCAAAGCTGCTCAAGACAAAATATCAGTAAGGATGCAGAAGATTTGTACAATACTAGCAAGCAACTTGATGTAATTGCTGTTTATAAAAAAACTGCCACCCAACAACAACATAATACATATTCTTCTCCAGTGCATATAGAGCATTTATAAAGGTAGATCATTTTCCAGACCATAAAGCAAGTCCCAATAAACTTAACAGGATTAAAGTCCTACAAAGAATATTCACTATTTAAAATGAAATTAAATTGGAAATCAATAACAGAAATATTCCTTGAAAATCCCAAATATTTGAAAAATAACAACACTTCTAAATAACTCAGAGACGAAAAAAGAAACCAAAAGGAAACACAGAAAGTACTTTGAATGGAATGAAAATGAAAGTACAACATGCCAGTATTTGTGGGATGCCTCTAAAAAAAGTATTTAGGGGAAAATGTATACCACTAAACACCTATATTAGAAAACAAAATGGTCTCAAATTGATGACCTCATCTCCCATGCAAAGCAATTAGAAAAGTCAGTTAAACCAAAACTAAGTAGAAAAGAGAAAGAAGAGTGGAAATCAAGGAAGTAAAAATAAAAACATTCAAGAAAAATGAATGAAATCAAAGGCTGGTTGTTTGAGAAGATCAATAATAAGACTGATATACCTCTAGGCAGAGTGATCAAGAAAAAACGACACTAGTTATCAATATCGGCTACGAGAAAGGTGCTGTTACCACAGATTCTATACAAATGTAGAGAATAATAATAGAATACAGATTTTTTTAAAAAAAACCCTTACGATACTAAATTGAACAACTTGAATAGCCCTAACCTATATTAAAAATTGAATTTTTAATTAAGTATTTTCTAGTAATCCTAAAAGCCTAGACGGTTTCATTAGTGAATTCTACCAAACATTTAAGTGAGAAATAATACCCATCCAACACAAACTCTTCCAGAAAATTGAGAATAAGAGACTACTTCTGAACTAATTCTATGAGGTTATGATTACCTATCAATATAAGACAAAGACAAATTAAGAAAAGACTACTAAAGACCACTGTCCCTCATAAAAACCGATTCAAAATGTAAACAAAATTTTAACAAATTAAATCCAATAATAGAAAAAAGGTAATTATTTTGATCAAGTAGAGTTTATCTCAGTTATGCAAGGTTAATTTAACATTTAAAAAATCAATGCAATTTACCATATGACTAGAATTTTTTTAAAAACTAAATTCAAAAAAATTTTTTTAAATCATCTCAATAGATGCAGAAAAACATTTGACAAATCTGACATCTATTCCTGATTAAAAACTCTTGCCAAACTAGGAATAAAAGAAAACTTCTCTAACCTAACAAAAAGTATCTATGAAAACCTATAGCTAACATTATACTCAATTGCCAAAGATTAAATGCTCCTCTTCCAGGATCAAGGAAAAGACAAAGATGTTACCTTTCATCATTTCTATTCCATATTATACTAGAAGTTATAGCCAGTATAGTAAGAATAAATAAAAGACATACAGAAACAATTAAACCATGTTTATTCACAGATAACATGATTTATAGACAATCTGATGAAATCTATAAAAATACTAAAAAGTAAATTTAGCACATTTGCAGGATACAAGATGAATATACAAAACTTAAATGCATATTTATATATACATTTATATGAGCAACAAATTACTGAAGATTGAAATTTTTAAGAATCAAACAATTTATAAAAGCACTAAAAGTATTAAAATCTTAGGAATAAATCTGAAAAAAAGACATGAAAGACTTTTAGAATGAAAACTACAAGGATTTGTTAAGGAAAAACAAAGAAGACAAAATAAATGGAGAGAGCTATACCATGAGCTAGAACACTGAAAATAATGAAAAAGCTAATTCTCCCTTAATTCATCTATAAATTCAATTCAATCCTGGTTAAAATTCCAGAATAATTTTGAGAAACTGACAAGCAGATTCTAAAATTCATATGGAAAGGCAAATTGACCTAGAACAACTGAAAACAATTTTTTTTAAAAAAAAGAACAAAATTAAAGGTCTAATACTACCTGAAGTTAAGCTTTGCTATAAAGCTATGATAACCAAGGTAGTTAATTTTGGTATAAATATAGACAAATAGATCACCGGGATAAAATAGAGAGTTCCGAAAAAGACCCACATATTCATACAACTACTTTTTGACAAAAATGCCAATGTAATTCAATGGAAAAAGAATAGTCTTCATAAGAAATTTTGCTGAAGCAATTAGGTCCCCTTATGCAAAAGTAATCGTAATAAACTTCAGTATATGTCTACACCACATACAAAAATTAACACAAAATGAATTATAGACCTAAATTTAGGACATAAATCTATTAAACTTATAGAAAAAATACATAGGCAAAAATCTTTGCAACCTTATGAGTTAGCAAAGGCTTCTTAGCTACAACACCAAAAGCAGGATCTATTAAGAAACAAAACGAAAAAAAAACGAAATATCATCAAAATTAAAATTCTGCTCCTGGATTACTTTGTTAAGAAGAACGAAAAGACAGTCCAGAGGCTGGGAGAAAATATTCACAAAGCGTATGTCTGATAAAGAGTTTGTATCTTGTATATACAGGAAAATTATAAACTGAATAATAAACAAATAACCCAGTTTAAAAAGTAGGAAAGATTTGAATATACAATTTATGGACAAAGATACAGATGGTATATAGGTCCATGAAAAGATAGGTGTTCAAAATTATTACTCATATAAACAAAACACACCTATTAGAATGATTAAAATGTAAAAGACTGATCATACCAAGTGTTGGTAAGAAAGTGGAGGTATTTTAACTCTCATGAACTGCCAATGGGAGTGTAAAAGAGTACAGCAACTTTAAAAAACAGTTTGTGAGTTTTGCAAAAGGCTAAGTATACAATTCCCACATAATCAAACCATTTCAATCTCAAGGAAAAGAAAGTATATTTGCAAACGAGACTTGTACATGAATGTTCACAGCAGCTTTACTTGTAAAGTCAGAAAGAGTCAGCAACCCAATTGTGAATTGTGTGAACGACAAACTGTGATACATCCATATGATGGAATAGTACTCAGTGATAAAAGGGATGAACACACTACAACATGAATGAATCTCAAACTAATTAATGCGAATTAATTATGCTAAGTAAAATAAGTTAGACAAAAAAGTACATACTGCATATTTCCATTTATAAAAATCTCTAGAAAATAAAAATTCAAATGCAGTGAGAGAAAGCAGAGCAATGGTAGCCTGGTGACAGGGCAGGAAGCCGGAATT